CTTTTTTTTTTTTTTTTTTAACTTTTACCTCTTGAATTTTTATTCTCTGTTATGGACTGAATTGTGTTACTCCAAAATTCATATGTTGAAGCTCTAACCTCCAATGTGATTATATTTGGAGATAAGACCTTTAAAGAGGTAATTAAAGTTAAATGTGGGGCATAAAGGTGGGGCCCTAATCAAGTAGAACCAGTATCCTTATAAGAAGAGGAAGAGACACCAGAGATATGAACAGAGGGAAGGCCATGTGAGGACAAAGTGAGAATTTGGCCATTTGCAAATCAAGGAGAGTGGTCTCAGGAGAAACCAACACTGCTGACACCTTGGTCTTGGATATTCAGCCTTGAGAACTATGAGAAAATAGATTACTGCTGTTTAAGCCATCCGGTCTGTGGTATTTTATTGTGGCAGCCCCAGCAGATTAATACGCTGTCTTTCAATCTTCTTTGCACACCAACCTTTTCTTTGTTAGTGTGTTAGACTTATATTTATTAATGATGGAAAGATAATGATGATCCCAAATCCCTGGGTTGTCTGGCAGCAAAAAATAACCTAAGCAAATGTGTTGGCCTCAGGTCCAACTATTTCTTGGTAGTGTGGCTTCCTGGACCTTAGGCACTTACCTGTGTATTGTTAGTTCTCTAGGGGTTCATATAATGCAGTAAGAGTCAACATGGTAGAAAGATGAACCCAAAAAAGGGAACTGGTCACTGAAGCCAAGTGCTCAAATGGCCTAGTCCTCCCTCCAAGCCTCCTTCTTCCTGGGTCTCACCCTGGCCCCAGTACGCCTTTCAGAGCTGGAAAAGCCTCTCCCAGACTGGTGCCAGCTCCATGCCCCTCTCATCTCCAATCCTTTCCTATTGCCCTACTTCCCTAGTCTGAGAGAGGAAGAAAAAGGAACTGGGAAAAGAGATTAAAAAGAGTTAATCCACCAGAAACACATGTGTTAGTACCTTATCTCAATTATACATCACTGAGAGAGCTATTCCCTTGTGACTCATCGTAAAGTACCTTTCCTTTGTAGGTAGAGACAGGGAGAAACCATTGAGTTTGTAGCTAAAAGAAAAGGTCACTTGACTTTTCAGTTAAAAGTTTACTAAGTACATTTTAAAACTTGGCTCCTCATAGACAATCTAAGGTAACAAAATAAAAAATTATTTTAATCCATGTAATTTTTGTATACTCCCTTCTTAATTGAATGTATACTTTTTAAAAATATATTTGAGATTCACGTAATTTGCAAGCATATGTCCAATGGTCTTCCTCTGGGTTTTCATTCTCGAAGAGAGCCTTTTCCAGGCTGTATTCTTTACTCATTTCCATTACACCTTTTTCTCTCATATCCTTGACTTGTAGTTTTATCGCTGAGGCAGAAATGTTTACTCAGAAATCTTTTTGGTTAGGACTTTGAATTTACATACCCTATTTTCAAAGTTAAGACTTCTTGACTTATTGTGATAGGACTAGTTAGTGCTCTTTAATTTTTCAGTTTATCTGTTGATTTACCATTTTGCAAGTAAGTTCTACTTTTTTTCCTGCTTCCATCCACACAATGAGGAGTCCATTGACAACTGATCTTTGTTAGAGATTTGATATACAGTCCCAACCCTCCACTGACTATCTGAATGAGAGAGGTGTGTCAGCTGATTCCTTTGGGCGTCAGCGTCCTATGTCAAAGGGTCACTACCGGAAGGGTCTGCCATAAAGAGAAGTGAGATGCTCTATATTAAAATGCTCTGTTAACAATAGAACATTGCACAAATAAGTTATTGTCCTGTGATGTTTACCATTATGTTGAATTTTTTTTTATTCTGCATCTTTTATGTTATGAATCCTAGATTTCTGCTCCTCCCTGAACTATATGTGTAGTCCTTACTGTGTTCCAGATGCTAATATTCCTATTTTTTTCTTTCTGGACTCTTAGTTTTTTTCCTCTGTTTACACTGAAATTTTGTTTTTGTTGTTGACCCCAGGTTTGTCAATTTTATGTTGTTATTTTTGTGTTGGTGAGTATTTTCCTTATCTCAGGCATTTTAATTGGCATTGTAGTGGAGTAGATAGGGAAAAAAAACACCATCTTGCACTATAAACTACAAAGGCCCATAGAGAAGCATTTTCATCAATTCTTTTCTGTTTTGGCAGAAGGTTTTTTCTTGCATTCTACTAAATGACTACACTGAATGTAAAGAAAGTGTTATGAGGTAATGGGAGATGCCAGGTTTGGGTGTGAAGGGACAGGAACACATTGAACACATGAAAGGAAAGGCTCAGATTGAAGAGGTGTGTTGGATTTTGTAGAAGCCAAAATTACTTATTTGATAGGTCTTAGTTATAGAATTATAATTTTAGGAACAAGAGACTTTGGGGAATTAAATTACTGTGTGGAAAATGTCCTTCTCAACAAAATAAAAGGTTAGAGAATATTTATATCTTGGAGACCACAAAAATAAAATAAACAGAGAAATGGGGCAAAGGTCTTTTAAGATTAAGTTATTAAAAAAAAAGGATTAAGTTATTCATACTCTGTTAATTTAGTTATAAGAATCCCTTCCTAGGCCGGGCGCTGTGGCTCACGCCTGTAATCCTAGCTCTTGGGAGGCCGAGGTGGGCGGATTGCTCAAGGTCAGGAGTTCAAAACCAGCCTGAGCAAGAGTGAGACCCCGTCTCTACTATAAATAGAAAGAAATTAATTGGCCAACTGATATATATATAAAAAATTAGCCGGGCATGGTGGCGCATGCCTGTAGTCCCAGCTACCCGGGAGGCTGAGGCAGAAGGATCACTCGAGCCCAGGAGTTTGAGGTTGCTGTGAGCTAGGCTGACGCCACGGCACTCACTCTAGCCTGGACAACAAAGCGAGACTCTGTCTCAAAAAAAAAAAAAAAAAAAAAGAATCCCTTCCTATGTTTACTAATGTGGTAAAGAACAAAGCTAGGATATGTAATAATTTAATCCAGTAAACTTGTAAAGCATATTTACTATAAAGCATGTTTACTAAAAGAAACCATTTCTGTTCTAATAAAGTATTTAGCAGAAATTGAATTTGATCATATTAGCTATAAATGATCTCACCAGCCTTGTAATAATTGATCCACCCCACTGTAAATGAATTCACAAACCTTGTGATCATCACCACATATACAACGTGGGATTTGACTGGCTGAACTGACTCCGTAAGCAAGAAAACTTTTTTTTCCTTTTAAATAGTTTCAAGTTCTCAGGCCATTAACATTTGCTGACCACAACTTTGTAACTTTCTGTTGCACTGACTCATTCCCTTTTGAGTTTCTTTCCAGGAAACAATAAACCTCTTTGCAGCCCCAAGATAGCTATAAAGCCTTACATTACCTGCTTGCCCGGAGAAGAAAAGATAAGTGACAGAGAAGTCACCACAGCTTGTGCCCAAGGACCCGCTGAGCAGCCTAATCCCCGCATCCTGCCTGCGCACAAGCCTGGAAGAATGACCAATATTAACCCTCGCTCATTATACTACTAAAATCCTCACCCTGGGAGGGACTTAACTGTTATTTTTGATCACAGGATGTGTGTAGTAGCATGGATTTTCCCCACGCTTGCATGCCCCGCACTCCACCCCAAACACGTAATGATGCTCGCTCCCCTTGTGCATTATTCATTTCACCTCCAGAAAAAACCCTTGACCCTGTTGGTTGCTGGTCGGGGAGGCAGACTTGAGGCATTCCATTCCTTCCACCTCCTGGCTGACAGGTCCTCTGCAATAAACCCTTTTTTTTCTGTGACAATCCTCGTTGTCTCAGGAATTGGCTTTCTGTGCAATGAGCGGCCAGCAGAGAAACCCCCTTGCCAGTTTTGTTAACATGGCTTGTTACTGTCTACTCAGAAAAAAATATGTTGATCCAAGCAGATTGTGTGTCTCCTCGTTCTTCCACAAGTGAGAGAAAGGACTGAAGGGGGTTGGGTGGGGGACAAGAAGAAGGAGAAAAATGCTAAGAGAAGTAACAGGAGAAGATATATGAGACAGTAAAGCCTTCTCTAAAAGCAGGCCACCAGTCCAAAATTGTAGTTCATGGTCTCAGACTAATCAGGTACCATTTGCCTGAATTCTAGAGATCCATAGAGAAGGGATTTCTTCTTCTTTTTTTTTCTTTTTAGGGACAGGGTCTCACTCTGTTGCCTAAGGCTACAGTGCAGAGGCATCATCATAGCTCACTGCAACCTCAAACTCCTGGACTCAAGTGATCCTCCTGCCTCAGTCTCCCAAGTAGCTGGGACTATCAACTTGCGCCAGCTAATTTTCTTCTACTTTTGGTGGATGTGGGGGGCTCGCTCTGGCTCAGGCTGTTCTCAAACTCCTACCTCAGCCTCCCAGGGTGCTAGGATTACAGGTGTGAGCCGCTGTACCCAGCAGATACCACTTTTGATATTAAGTTGAAACAGGACAGGAGAACGGATCATGCTCATCCAATGGATAGAGAACAAGAAGCCAACTGGGAAGAAGATGGACTTAAAAGACAGTGCTGGAAGGTATAATTTATAATAACCATTATTATCGATTGGTTTATATCTTGTTCCTCCCTTAACGAAGCATCACAACTTTAGTAACATGGCTGTACTGTACTCAAGACTTCTGTATCTTACCACTGAAGTAGAAGTACAGCAAAATAAATTGGGGAACAACATCCTTGAGCAGCAACCCTGGAGGAGGCAGCAAGTCAGCAGTGGGTACTGCAAGTAAAAGTCTACCTGATTTAGGATTATAAAAGGAGTCTTTTCTTGTCATAATCTGGCTCACTAGAATTCTGCTCTGGATTTGGGAGCCAAGGCCCAGGCAGTCCCTGCTTTGCTCCCTGGGACTCTATTTCCCTCAGGAAGTTCAGGGAGTGGTGCCACATTGACAGTAGATTATGGTCTTTGCATCTCATATTCCACCCTCATATATTAATATTTATCTAGAAATATATTCATATAATATTTAGACATAACATATAGGTAGAAACATACAATGAAATACCATCCAATAATTAAAAATGATGCATGAAAATATTTAATGACATGGGGAAAATGATACATTGCAAAATAAAATCTGGTTATTAAACAATAAGTAAAGATTATCACATTTTTAAAAACTTTATCATTATATACACATAAAAATAGAAGAAAGATATATAGCAGAATAACTCAGCCATTAAAATTGTGTTTATAGAAAACAGTAACAACATGAGGGAACAACTTGTAATGTTAATGAAAAATGGTAGATATAATATTGCATAATTAGTGACTGAATAAAGTGTGAGTCTGTCTACGGCCATACCACCTTGAATACACCCGATCTCATCTGAATAAGTGTGAGCCTGACTTTGTTGAATGAGGGTGAAGAAGAAACTAGAAGGGAGCGTGTGAGAACACCGGCAGTAGTTTTCTCTGAATGTTGTAATCGTGCATGAAGTTTGGTGAGAGAGTTATTTTCTTTATACTCTTCTGTACTCTCTAAATGTGCATGGAATTTATTTATGATAATGTAAATACTTCTTAAATATCTGTAACTCTTCAAAAGTGATGCTTCAGGATAAATGAGCTGCTAAATATTTTCAGAATTTACATAACTCTAATATACTAGTGGGAAGGGTGAAGTCTGAGGGGCTGCTGGCAGTAAGAGGTAAGACTTGTTCTGCATCCTGAGAAAGTCTAGACGCGATCAGCAGGATATAGACATCGAAGAACACATTTCAAGTCAGTGTGAAAAAGAGTTTTGTAATCATTAACCACAATGGAATGGGTCTCCTCAAGATGACGAGTGCTGAAAGTGGTCAAGCAGAGGCTAGAGGTCTTCTTGCCCTGGGAGCGGGGAGGGTTGGGGGAGAAGCACAAGGGGACAGTGGAACAGATGACCTCTAGCATCATTTTCACTGCTAGCATTCTGTCTACTTGTCACTCATTCATACAGCCTCCAAGATGGCCCCAGTGCTTCTGGGTATTCATGCCCTTATGTAAATCCCTCCCAGATGGAATGAGCTGATCTGAGTCCAATAGGACACCGTGGAAAAGATGGCATGTGACTTCAGAGGCTAGATCATAGGCGACATTTTGGCTTCTGCCTTGCTCTCTCTCGAATTACTCACTCTGGAGCAGGCCAGGCCTGGGAGAGGCCCTCCTGGAGAGCATCTGAGGCCTCCTGGCAACACGTAGCAAAAACTTGCCCGCTGTGTGAGCGATTCACCTTGGAGACACACCTCCAGCCCCCAGCAAGCCTTCAGATGACTGCTGTCATCGCCTGCTGACACGGTGCCTGCAGATGCCTGAGACACCCTAGCAGAATGGCCCACTTAAGCCATACCTGAATTTCTGACCCAGACTATGAGATGAAACCACTACATTTGAAGGTAATTTTTCATATAGCATTAAATAACAATAGAATACATTTTTACCTGATTTGTTCCACAATAGGTTTGAAATAACAGTCTGTGATTCAGTCATTTCAGCTGAGCTATTGACAAGTTTTTCTTAATTAGGCAAAATCTCCAGCTGTTCCAGGCACCTAAGAGTAGCCTCTCCACTTAAATAGTACAGTTTAACCCACCACAATTCGATGTCTCAACATGTTCCAATAAAAACAATGTCATTTTGCTGTAAGGTAACACATGTTATTTTTTTCTGATAGAAAAGAATAATGTGCTTTTTATTCTCCTTTAGATTTGGTGTCTGTGAATAGCTACCGCTACACCTATGTACTGTACATTTCTCAGCTTCTACCCATCAATTTGCTCAGCAAAAAGGTACACTACAAATTGCAGCAAGAGAGCATTTTATAAAGGTAATTTTCAGCATTTCTGCACCTAAAAGGGAAAGTTTATCTGGATAAACAAGCCAAATGCAAAGACAAAGACTCTGCAAATTGTTCTTACAAACAGATGACTAAATCATCCCTTTGGTATTAAATATATATATATATTTTATCTGAAAGTTATGAGATATTCTGGGTAAGCCTGATTGTCAGAGAATACCACAAATAGCACTGGATTTTGAGCATCGTCTGTGACAGAGTCAAAGAGATCTGTGGGGTTGGCAGGATCCTTTGGTGGAGGGATAACTAACCCTTCACTTCCCTCGGTGTAGTTCCCAGTAAGCACTTGCACAACATACATATGCTTCCTCCCCTGCTTGTCAGGCTTAGAGTATCTATCCTGAGCAGAATAACTGGCATCAACAGCAAAATAGGTTCCTTTTCCAAAGGCTGCACCTGTAAAGAGAAAGACAAAAGCCTTCCTAAGAATGTAAAATTATATAGTATATAGAACTATGCCGAACCGGACAAAAAAATTTTTTTTTAAATGTAGTTCCTGGCCACTAAAGCTACTTTTTATCATTTCTAGAATTCACTTCATCTTCCCTTAGAAGGTTGTCAGTGTCCTTCCAGGTGAAGCACAGTGAGCTGTGTCCTGACAATGACAATATGGCTGTCATCTACGGTTCTATACTGCCTGGATGTGACTAGTTGACACTAGACCACCATTCACCTCATTCTGATCGACCAGATTAGTCCCCTCCTTACTGTTCTTCCCAGCATAACTGCGATTGAAGCCATGCTCATTGATGTGTAGCACCGAGTCTGCATCTGTCCCATGGAAGAGGAGTCTCTCATTTTGAGTGTGGCCATTCTTGACATCCATGACCTGTTTCTTTATCTGGTAGCTGTGCCAGAGAGGAATATTCTGTATTCTCTCAATCTGCAGATGACAAAAACCAAAACATTTTGGAAATAACCTTAGATCTCAGTATATTTTACTTGTTGCAGATTTAAACTAAGCAATATGAGGGAGAAAGATGAAAAGGAAAAGGAGAAGAAGGAAGAGAAGGGGGAGGAAAGGGAAAAGGAGAAGAAAATGCAAACAAACAGAAAATTCTGAGAGTAGGTATCTTTCTGCCTTTAGAAAAAGATATGCTACAAGTATCTATTAGTATCTATACTTTGTAATAGTGATTATGAGTATCTATTTTATATAACAGAACTCATAGTTTATATCAAAACGTCTACCTATATATATTCTCTGGAATTTCCAGAAATTCACTAACATTCGAATTCCTAATCAAAAATTTGTAATCACTCAATAGCCATTTCCTAATTCCTTTTCATCTGCAAACCTATTCCATATGACTGCTCCCAGTAATGACTCTTTCTGTTATTGCCCCATTTATGGTCACAAATCACCTCATAATCACCAAATATGATGACTTTTTCTTTTGAGATCTCTCAATAGCATTTCAAACCATGAACAACCCCCTCTTTGAAACTTCATCCTTTTTAAACCTTTTTTCAAAATATTACTCTCTACTTGTTTTCCTTCTTTCTAGGAAATGAAGTTAATTAACATCCATTCAATTCATGTACTGAACATCTACTATGAATCAAGTGCTGTACTGGGTCTCTGCCCTAGTGAAATGTTCAGTCTAATGGGGAAGAAAGACAAGAAAACAAATTACTGTCCCTGAGAGTGACAAGGGATGGGTTAGGAGAACACACACAGAGCTGTGAAAACATAAGAAAGGGCTCTAGAGAATCTATGTCTGGGGAGGAAGGAGGAAATCTGAGAGGCTGATGTTCTGGAAACAGAAAAAGAAGAGAGGTTCAAGAAGACTGGAGTGGGAACCTAGGGCAGATGTTGAGCAGAGGCCATGTAATAAGAGCAGGAGGGAAAACTGTCTTGCTGAGAGTGATGGCGGCCTCAGGGAGAGTGATGAAGGCCTGGAATGGGGAATGTGGGAGGCAGTGGACCGGAGGAAACAGTGAAGAATTCCAGGCAGCCTGGAGAGTCCAGCTGAGATTGAAGACCATGAATTAGTACTGATTTTATCTAGGAGCAGCAATAAAGAAGGTAGGTTATGTGACTCCAAAGTTGGGGATTTTCAAAATGGGTATGCTAGAAGGCTATGAGCTAAGAAAGTTGCAGATATTGGCTAAACACAATGGAAGCTAGGTTGTTGCTCCCCTTTCAGTGGTCCCTCAATATCCGTGAAGGACTGGTTCCAGGGCTCCTGCAGATACCAAAATTCAAGGATGCTCAAGTTCCTTATATAAAATGGCAGTACTGTATTTTCATATAACCTATGCAATCTTCCTGTATACTTTAAATCATCTCTAGAGAACTTAATGTACATGTTCAGTACAGATACAACCATCATAGGCCTGATGCAATTTTTGATCTGCAATTGGTCCAAACCATAGATGCAGAAGCCATGGATACAGAAGGCCAACTACAGTCTCAACAGCTTTTAACACCACAGAGCATCTCCTCCTTTAAATTCTGTCCTTTCCGCACGATGTCTCTCCTGGTTCTCTTTTCTTGGGAATTAAGTTCATTCATTCAATTTCGTTTGTTCAATACATATTGTGTCCTACTATGTGCTAGACTATGTGCTAAGTACTGGGAATGCAGACATGAATAAGATGCGACTCCTCCCTTAAGAAGCTCCCTGTGTAATTGGGAAGCCAAGCATGTGAAAGGCTATCAAAGTATGATTTTACAAGTGCTATAACATAAGTAAGTACACAGTTCTATGGAAGAAATGGCTAGATTTTAAATTACCAGGATGCCACACCCTGCTCTGATATCTATACCATGTTACCCCAAAAATAAGTCAGGATCTTATATTTATTTTTCCTCAAGAAGACACTCTAGGGCTTATTTTCAGGGGATGTGTTTTTTTTAAGGATGGTACAATAATCTACATTTATTCAAATATAGTTAAGTCATCGTCTTCTGGAACATCATTCTAACTCTCCAAACACCGAATTCCATCCTGAATTTCTTGCAACTCTATTTCCTTTAGAACCATTGGCCCCCATCTCTCAAGCAATAGAGCTCTCATGAGGCAGATGAAAAGGGCTGCTCATCTTCTTTATCACTCCGCAACGAAATGCATGGGTTGTGCAGATACGCTGTGTAGCCACGCCCATCACTAGGTCTTATTTTCGGGGCAGGGCTTATATTGTGCAAATGCTTAGAAATCCTGCTAGGGCTTATTTTATGGGTAGGTCTTATTTTCGGGGAAACATGGTAGTACGACAGTGACCTGCTGATAAACCCCTACATTTTACTGACTAATATTTTTATGCAACACAGTGGACATTATGCTAATCTCCTGAACATCTATTCTACCCCATCAACAACTGGTTTCAGTGGAATTGGCCCCACTTATATTAACAGGTCTAGGGTGGGGCCTAATGGGGTTAGACCAATCAGGATCTCCAGATGGATCGCACAGAGAGGGAGCTGACGGCCCAGGCCAAGCCGACCAGCACATGGTATTCCCCAGACACAGAGCTGGTTGGAATGGTTCAACCAGCTCCATTCAAAAAAACCTTGGTAAGTAAGGCACACAGGAAATGAAAAACAAAATAAAAAACCTTGGGTCCCTTGTCTAGTGATTGTGGGACAGGACATAGTTGTCTTCTGTGGGATGTGAATGAGGAAGCGGAGACCCCTGGTGACACCGGCAGCCGTCCTACAACCACACGGAGAGTCCAGCCTTATGACACAGCTGACACTGTGCACATCAAAGACAGGGAAACTGAATCCAGGACATGCTAGCCACTGGATCACACTGCTCCAAAGCGCATCCTACTTCCAGACTTTCCATTAATTTCCAGTACAATTCTCCTTGTTTAATCAGCTTGAGTGGCTCTGCTTGTGCTTGCAGCTGAAAGCATCCTAGCACCTACACGTGACTTTTGAGACTATCCTTCATTACTGCTAATGAATGAACCATGAAATTTGAAGTCTCTGGAGCTAAATCTAATTCCAGTTAAAATAAACATACAAGGTACAAAGGAAGAAAGAGGGTTATTAAAAAAAGAGAAGACTTTCACGTTAATTCTTCAACATTTTAAAACAGTAAATTTTTAACACAGTATTACCTTCTCTATTGTGCAGTAACAAGTCTTAGCGAACTTGTCCTTTACAGTGTGATATTCTGATTCTTCTGGCCGCAGCTGGACCGTACAAAACAGCTGATCATTCATGGCGGTCCAGTGTTCGGGAACATTCTCTAGAAAGTCAGCATATGGTGAAAACATGGTATTCATTTCCAGGGACCTCTGAAAATCAGGGCACTTCCTATGCTCTTGTTAAGCTACACATTTCACAGTTGCTTTTTAAATTATCCTCAATTGAGTAAACACAGATGAAGTGAAGAGTGTGATACCCACATGACACATAATATATTAACTAAAGGTCTAGCTAAAATATTTAGATAAACTTAGATTCATTGAATATGAATGTCAATTTATTGATGCTTTCACTTTTGTCAGTTTTATTTAATGTGGTTCTTTATTATTTTTCTTTAGAAAAATGATTACCCTGCTAAAGATATTTAAAGCACACTGTTCTGTATCTCATCTTTTACACTAAGTAGAGAAAGCACCATACATATAGAAAACAGCACATGTGCTAAGGGAATCCTTTCACATAGGTGATCATGCCCAAAGTTTTCCTTTGGTTTACAAGGGCTTCCAGTAACTTCAAAAACACCAAGGCTAGACATCACCTTGCTAAGATAGCATGACTAGTGTAAATATGGACAGACTGCATTAGAGAAGAAAATGCCACAAACTAGCACAGCACCACAGGTAAAGAAACCAAAGGATTTCTTCCTTAAAAACAAAACCACAATTTACTCACTTTTAAGGGAAGATGTATCAGGCCTGAGAGAGAGATCCGGGACACTCTTCTGTTTAGCACATCCATCCCAGATAGGTCCTAGTGACACACGGTAGTGTGTAATTCTAATTGGTGGGCTCTTTACAAATTTTCTTTTAGTTTTACTGGAGATGTTTCTTTCCCATAGGGGACTTTTGTAACAGGGGGAAGGGCCTAAAACATAAATAAATTAATTAAAAAATGGCAAAAATATTTTCTACTCCTTTTTGAGAATGAAAACCTGCATCCCTGCCTGAGGCCAGTGGCTGGGAGGAGCAGAGAGAGGGCCTTTGTTCTTTCATCCCAGGCTGGTGCCAGCACCCTAGGTGGGCCCAGGTGGGGCTTTGTCTTTGCCTGAGATGGGCTGATTAGAATAGTTAACCACAATAGCCTAGAACTGAGGGGCACTCCCTGCTAATGTTCAGGAAATTTGGATTTTGAGATGAGAAGGTCTACCATTTTTTTTCCTTTGCTGTATTCTCTTTTCTTCTCCTCAAACCACTTCTTCTCATTCTACTGTTGTGGCCTTGAGGACAACTGCTGAGCTTTTGGTAACACATTGTTAATAGGAATTATGTTCCTTCCTTCCCTCACTACCCATCTCCTTCAGAATCTTTTGGCAGAAGCATTTCTAGTTCTAGGCCTTAGGGTCCTTTCAACCGGCTACTATCCCCTAAATACACAGGCAAGACTAGGAAGTAAGTGACATTTTTCTTCAGACCCTCTATTCCTTTCATGCCATGAGGTGGAAGAGCAAAAAGCTGTCAGGACTTGGAATCAGAAGACCAGATCGGCCTCAGCCTGTGACCAGCCATGGGACATTGAACAAGTAACTCCACTTGAGTGCTTTTTCATTTGCACATCTGTGAAATGGACATTATAAAAGCTGCTCTATTTACCTCTGTAACCTCACAGAATTGTTACAAGGTTAAAATATAATAAGAGGTCTGAAAGCACTTTAGGGAATGCCAAGTCCTTGGCAGGAGGCCAAGGCGGGAGGATCACTTGAGGTCAGGAGTTCAAGACCAGCCTGAGCAAGAGCGAGACCTCATCTCTACTATAAATAGAAAGAAATTATCTGGACAACTAAAAATATATAGAAAAAATTAGCCAGGTGTGGTGGCGCTTGCCTGTAGTCTCAGCTACTTGGGAGGCTGAGGCAGGAGGATCACTTAAGCCCAGGAGTCTGGGGTTGCTGTTGCTGTGAGCTAGGCTAACGCCACAGCATTCTAGCCTGGGCAATAGAGCAAGACTCTGTCTCCAAAAAAAAAAAAAAAAAAAAAACAAAAACTGATTAAGCTTGATATTTTTTACATTTGAAGTATTTGCATTTTAAGAGGGAATAAAGTGTAAAGCCAAAGGTATCTTCTTGAGAGGAAAGACACTTAAACCCCACCCTTATCTGCCTGTGTACAAAAGGTGACCCTGGCTAGACAATTTAGAGAAAAGGAAATGAAGTCTTAGGAAACTTGAAGACTGACTCATCCAACATTATATGGAAGGTCATCATCAAAGTAAGGAAGAGAATTTTGTTCTATTGACTTGCAGCCTTGTGCTTTATGGAAAACAACATGGTAGCTACCTTTCCTTAAGTGTTTGCCATGTGCAGGCACTTTCCTAAGCCCTTTTACTGTTGATATTCTTTAAAAGATAAGTTTTACTTTTGCATTCCTGGTGTTCAGGATAAATGCCCTCCCTCACCTCTCCTTGTGCACCCTGCCTGTCTCTTCTCCATCTAATCCCATCTGTGGAGATGGGATTAAAAACCAAGAATCTTGCCAAGCGCAGTGGGTCATGCCTGTAATCTCAGCACTTTGGGAGGCCAAGGTGGGAGGATCAATTGAGGCCAGGAGTTCAAGACCAGCCTGAATGACATAGCGAGACCCTGTCTCTACAAAAACTTGAAAAATTAGGTGGGCGTGGTGGTGTGCACCTACAGACCCAGCTACTTGGGAGGCTGAGTCAGGAGGATTGCTTGAGCCCAGGAGTTTGAGGGTGTGGTGAGTTATGATGCTACTGCACTCCAGCCTGAGCGACAGAGCAAGACTTTGTCTCCAAAAAACAAAAAACCAAGGCTCCTGACTCTGCCTCTGCTAGTCCTCTGATACTCTCCATGAATAAGCCAATTCACACTTGTAGGCTTCAACTCCCACCTACTCACATGACTTCCCAAATCTATATCTCTAGTGTCTGATATACAACTGGTGCTCAATAAATGCTCCCTGCTTCAATAAATAGCTTTAAGATACCTTTAAAAGGTAATTGTGTATCATCTGCCCAAATGAAACTCAAAGCTATCCTCTTTAAGCTCACTTTTATTTATTTATTTATTTATTTATTTTATTTATTTATTTATTTTTTTGAGACAGAGTCTCGCTTTGTTGCCCAGGATAGAGTGAGTGCCGTGGCGTCAGCCTAGCTCACAGCAACCTCAAACTCCTGGGCTCGAGTGATCCTTCTGCCTCAGCCTCCCGGGTAGCTGGGACTACAGGCATGCGCCACCATGCCCGGCTAATTTTTTATATATATATCAGTTGGCCAATTAATTTCTTTCTATTTATAGTAGAGACGGGGTCTCGCTCTTGCTCAGGCTGGTTTTGAACTCCTGACCTTGAGCAATCTGCCCGCCTCGGCCTCCCAAGAGCTAGGATTACAGGCGTGAGCCACAGCGCCCGGCCTCACTTTTAAAGATGATAAATTCTTACAAAAATTCAAGTTTATCTGGGCCAACAAACTTCCTTTTATCTGAGATTTCCCTTGAGCTCAAACGTGGAGGGTGTGACTCTGGCTTGGCCAGTCTGGGCAGTCCCAGTTCCCTGTCTGCAGTGATCACCTAAGCTGGTCCAATCAGAAAGAATCTCAGGGCTTAAAAGCAAGCTCTGTCCGCTGGCATCATGTTCCAGATGTTAAGTGTATATGTACATTTTACATATATCGTGTGTTGTGAGACATTGAGGAGAATAGTCAGGAAATAAATGTAGAGAGAACAGAAATTCCTACTGACATCAGCAGACAACAATCTCAGTGCGGGGCGGCTCCTGATGGAATGTGTGCCTCGTCACTAGCGAAATTCACAGAGCTTTATGGATGAGTGCAAATGGTGACTGCAAGAGGAAGCTGAAACTCTAGTTATTTTAACTGTAGCACAGAAGCCACAAAGTGGGGAAAGCTAGACAGAGGAACTAGTCGACACAGATACTCACACAGAGTATAAACTCATCTTGCAGAGTACTCACTGGGCATCTATCTGGCTGCTTGTGATGTCATACAACCAGATGAGCCTGGCTACTACCTTCTTGCATCTGCTTCTATTTCCAGGCTAACTTGTCTGCAGGTGGGTGATTAATAAAACAATATTGATCAGCTAATTCATAGCTACAAGAGGCACTGAGGGTCAAGGCCAATCAATAATTAAATAATGAGACCGTAGGCTAGAATTTGCAAAGCCTGGCCCCCTCTTCCTGCTTTCTCACTTCTTTTCTCTTCCTGTTCATTTGCTATTCCTGTTTCCCAGGCATGATTTTCCCTCTCAGAAAAATAATTCTTAATTCTTATACTTTCCCAATGTATTATAAGAAGTTGTCTGTCCTAAAACCGACAGAAAATTATAAACCCAGTGAGCCTTCACATCTAAACATTTTCTAAGTGATATCAGAGATAGCTTTGTGATTTTTAAAAATGAACATCTTACGTGCAGCATTGGGGAATGTGGTCTGAAGGGTAGGTGATGCGGGGGTGTCTCTTTTCTTCATGCTGTTACAGAAGACATTTAGCAGCTCAGATAAAAAGATGACAACTTTAACTGTTTCTAATGATGGGGTGGAATATTTCTGTGTGAAGTCTATGATGGCATCGATTATGTTATCCGCAACTATGATTGGGTCTTGTCCGGCATTTCCTGGAAAAAAAATTTTTTTAAGTGACAAAAAGAACTTTTAGCTGGTGTTAGTAATGTAATGAGATTTGGCAAGTGCAGTTCTTGGTGCTGAGAAGCAAGAGGGCCTCTGGCAGCCAGGAACTGACCTGACATTCACAGCTAGGTCTTGGTGTTCTCGGCTGAACACAAATGATCTTATAGAACATCATCAATGTAACCGATGTGACCATGATGAATTAAGACAGAAACAAGATCACTCCATAATCAGGTCCGATCACCGACAAAAACTGTCCAAACCACAAAAATGGCCAAACATCCCTCTATCCTGACTGATAATGAGTGACAGCTGCTTGATTACCAATCACAGGTTTAGCCACACTTTGTTCTTCCCTCCTTCTATATAAGATACCCAGTCATAGATTATGTCTGCTTCCTGAAAGTATCTGATCCAGAGAAAAGACTGCCACAAAATCACCTAGGCCCTAATTCCTTAATAAGTCCATTCTAACATTGTCTTACTGAGATGCTGCATGGTTCCCCATCACGTGTGCTCCTGGTGGTCTTTAGCTGAAGAGCGCTGGCAGTGCAGAGAAAAGAACATGTGATTTGGATGCAGAAGATCTGGGTTCATGTCTTGGCTCTGTTGCTTATTAGCTGTGTGATCTTATGTAAACCATATGATCCCTCTTGCATGAGTTTGCTAGGGCTGCCATACAAAATGCCTTGGGCTGGCGGCTGAGGCAACCGAAATTCATTTTTGCACACTCTGTAGTCTAGAAGACTGAGGTCCAGGTGTCGGTGGAGGTGGTTTTTGCTGAGGCCTCTCCCTTGGGCTTGTAGATGGCCATCTTCTCCCTGTGTCTTCACATGGTCTTCCCTCTGCACCTGTGGGTGTCCTAATCTCTTCTTCTTATAAGAACACCAGTCACAATGGAGTAGGGCCCACACTAATGGCCTCATTTTAAGTTAATTGCCTCTGTAAAGACCCTGTCTCCAAATATAGTCACATTCTGAGGTACTGGGGTTAGGACTTCAAAATGCAAATTTTGGGGGAACACAACTTAGCCCATAATGACTCTATACTTCAGTTTGCTCAGCTATAACTTGGGGTAATAATAAAGGATAATAGATAATAGAGATAAGAATATGATCAATCGCTAAGAATACAGTAATTAAGAGCATAATGGTAGAAAACAATAGTAAAAAAGAAATGTAATGGACTGTGCAGGTTCTGGGACCAGGCTGCCAGTGTTTGAACCCGGCTCTGTTGCTTACTAGCTGTGTGACCTTGTACTTTAATGCCTCAAATTCCCCCTCTGCAAGATGGATGGGCCCAGGTTTTGTAGAGCTTGAAATTTATACATCTCAGAAAAAGAATATAAAATTATGTATGAAAGTGAATATTTAGAATCAGAAATCACAACAAAATATATATTTTAAAATACTGAAAATCATATTCCCAAGGCAACTTTCCTTAGGTGTATCCCAAAAATATTTGCATCTACTCCAACATCATCTAGTGCAAGGGCAGGTATGAAAAGTCTAGGAAGTCAAAATGGGAAGAAACGATGGTGTTAACTCATGGTGGTTGAAATACCTTACTTTTGAAGTTTTACTAAATTATATAATCATGTGAAGACATGATTAGGTCTCCTCTCAGGGTCTTTAATAAGGCCTCTGCAAGTGAAGCCCAGTTGCTTAAGCTTCTTGTCTTCACAATAAACTTGTCTTTGCTAATAATATTGATGTCACAGGTATGATGACAAACCCTCCCAGTTTCCCTGGGACAGAGAGGTTGCCCTGGACACAGGACTTTCAGTGTTAAAACTAGGAAAGTCCTGGGCAAACATGAGTAAGTTGACACCCTACATAAGGTTATTGTGAGGAATGAATGAGCTTTTACATGTTAAACACTCAGAACATGTGTAAGCACACAATAAGTCTTGACAATTATTAGCATTACTACTGCAACTAATATAATTGTTCCAAGCTACTTCATGAGTGTTTGTTGGTGCTCAAAATAGATGTTGTTTGACAAATGTTTTGGAAATATAAATTATAACATAAATTTTGTTCACTGAAACCAATGAAGAAGTGACTACAAGAGTAAATTAGGAGACATTATCAAAATCACCAGTTATTCTTCATTCATTCATTCAATAAAATTTAACGGGTAGTGATTCTGCACTCAATGTGGGGCAGAGAAGACATGAAGGAGATGTGGTCTTCTCTTTCGAGCATCTCACAATGTGTTCATGACTGAGGAGGCAAGGCCAGGTGTGGTGGCTCACACCTGTAATCCCAGCACTTTGGAAGGCTGAGGTGGGAGGTTTGAGGCCAGGAGTTTGAGACCAGCCTGGGGAACATAGTGAGACCCTGTCTCTAAAAAAAAAACAAACAAAAAAACAAACAAACAAACAAACAAAAAATAGTAATCTGACTTGGTGGTGCACACCTGTAGTCCCAGCTACTCAGGAGGCTGAGGCAGGAGGATTGCCTGAGCCCAGGAGTTCAGAGTTACAGTAAGCTATGATCTCACCACTGCATTCCAGCTTGGGGGACAGAGTGAGACCCTATCTCTATAAAAATAAATACAAATTAAGAAAAAATTTTTAAAAACTGAGGCGGCAAGCATTCCCTGGCCTCCCACTTCCTTTGCTGGGACCTTGCACTTATATTCTTCCAATGCCTATGATTAGTTGTTGACTCTTTTGCTGAATTTTCCATCCCCCACCAATCTACCTGTGGGCACTTTCCCCTATTCTGGTCTCAGTCCTCTTCTCTCTCTCTCTGTATGCAGTCCCCTGACAAGCTCATTCCACCTACCCAGCTACAGCGCTTTCCACTGTGTGGCTGGTTATCCTACCTACACCTGTGTCCTCTGTGTTGTGTATCATGCTTGGTTACCATACCTTGTCTGTCCCTAAATCACGAACTTGAGCGGCCAGGGCTTACTCCACTCTGCTTCCCCATTGCCAGGTAGCAGAGCATGTGCTCTGGGTGGTGAGAGCAAAACAAGCAGGGTTTGTGAGGGCTGTAATTGGGCAGAAGGTGGGAGAAGAGGATCCACATGGGAAGAATTACATGACCAAAAGGAGAAAAAAGTGGGACAAAAAGGTTCTAGGTGGTAATGAGGGCAGCAGATAATAATGGTAATGAGGGCCAGAAGAATGTGCAGCAAGCTTCAGATGGGTGCCCTGGAGCTCACACAAGAAGGGCCTGGGATACCCCACAGGGGTCTTCAATTTTAATCAGGTAAGCAGAAGGAACCCTACAGAGTTAAATGAAGATGATTACAGTGACTCTAAGGCTAGGAATTTAACTGCTAAAAGAGCATCTTTGATTAATGGTAACCTATGGCTACAGACTTCCACCCAGCCCCTGACTTCCCAAATGAGAAGCCCTCACTTCCATGAGAGTGACAGGTCACATGGGTGGAGTGAATCAGGACATGGGTCAGCAGCAGCATCTTCAACTAAGAAGAGCAAATTATTGTGTGATACAATAGAAATGAGGAAAGTGTTCCTAGCAACTGACAGAGCAGGATAAACTGGAGCTTGTTGCTTAACTGTAGCAACTGCATCTTATTCATGAGTACTTCATGCTACACAGGGTACACATGGCCTGAGTAATAGCTTCTTCTGTTTTTTTTGTTTGTTTGTTTTGTTTTTTTTTTTGAGACAGAGTCTCACTCTGTCATCCAGGCTGGAGTACAGTGGTGTCATCATAGCTCACTGCAGCCTTGAACTCCTGGGCTCAAGCTGTCCTCCTGCTTCAGCCTCCCAAGTAGCTGAGACTACAGGTGTGCACCACCATGCCCAGCTAATTTATTTTAGTTTTTGTAGAGAAGGGGTCTTGCTATCTTGCCCAAGCTGGTCTCATGCTGCTGGCCTCAACCATACTCCTGCCTTGGTCTCCTAAAGTGCTGGGTTACAGGTGTAAGCCACCACGCCCGGACACAGCATTTCAATTTAATAAATGCATGAATGAGGAGCCAGCTAGGAAACATGGCAGAGAACCAGATGGGGGAGGTATTAAAGGTTTGAAACTAAAAGGAAAGCTGAAACTCAACAACCCTCTGGAAGAAGATTTAGCAGGACTTACTGGCTGTGGAGGTCTGGGGACACAAGGAAGAAAGGGTGGCAGACCAGGGCAGCTGGGTGCATCGTGGCACTACTGAATGAGGACACTAGAAAACCAGAAAGCCCATGAGAAGTATCTGTCTGCGAGGGAGGATGATTTTTGATCCTATGTAGTGAAGCTTCTGGAAACAGAGAACTCTTCCAGGGGAGATCCTGGAAAGGGTGAGAAGTGCTGTTGGGTGTTGGGAGTTGGGAGTCGCTGCAGAATGGGAACAGATACAATAAGAGCAAATGAATCCCCAAGGGGGGTGGGAAACAATGAGGAAACCATGAAGTTCAGGACCAAACCTGGAAAGATACTTAGGGAACATAAAATAAAGAGGAAAGATGGAGGAAAGAGGCTTGGGTCCCCTAGCTGGTTGCACCCTCAGGATCTAAAGGTTGCCCCCTCTCTGATTTATACCACTCTTGATGCCCTCAGATGGACTCGGCTTTGATTTCCTTGTGAGTGACACAAGTCCAAAGGAAGCTGGATCACTCAGAACTTTAGAGGGATGAGATGCTGCAAACCTGTTCCGATGGCTGGAAGGGAAACTGATCTGTAATTCCTCTGTTCACACTCTTCTAGAACACTGGAGACCGTTTTCTTAACATCATCTCCCCCATGAACATGAATTATTATGTGACAGCTTAAGTCTCCACCTTCTGTAATTATATAACCTCTGTGAGGCTGTGCAGCTGAAAAAGGAGAAGAAAAACAAACACACAGCCCATCAGTTACTGGAAGCAACACTGTGGTCACTGAGAAATGAAACGAACCAGCTGACACCAGAGAAAGCCACGAAGCCCAGCCTCCCTCAAGCCTGCTGGCTTCCCTACTGTATCAAAGGAGCAATTTTATAATACTAATAAAATAATTAATTAATAATTATAATCTGTTCATTCAGCCAGATTAATTTTTCAGGGAGACAAAAGCAAAGTGCTCTGTGGTATGGATTGGGGGTGTGACAGGATGAAAACTTCTCCCTCCCTAGGAATCCCGCGAGCTCTTGAGCATGTGGAAACTACCAGGGCTGTTTTACGACACTGCCCTTTTAGTTCAGACTGCCCTGAGTGAGGCTGGGCCTGGCAAAACCGAGGGGGAGGAGAAAGGATCCCTGCCATCCCCCTGCCCTCCTTGGGAGCACCCACGCCCAGGCACTCGCTGGGGCCCCTCAGGTGCTCCCTGTTCCCGGCATCCTTAGGCTTTCCCAGCTCATCCAACCCCAGCTTCATCCTCTGCTTCTGCCTTCCAAGGCACAGCTAGTTCATCCAGTGCTCAAATCCCTGCTAACAAATCCTCACACGGGTGATCAAGCATTATTTTCCTCTGTTCTCCCTCCAGAAATTTATTCACTCCAGAGAAAATGTCTTAAATAGAAGAGAGCTTCTAAGATTGGTGTTTCAGGCACCACAGCAGGTCAGTTGTGGGACTATATTGTCAAACATGGTCCATTATGACTTTTTCAAAGTGCTTGTAGCTGTCTACCCAATTCTGCAAGGGAGGTTTTGCAGGACAAATAGTCCTTTAGGTTCTCCACTCAGGCTCCACACTCATTCAGAAAAGGACTGGAAGTCAGCCATGTAGAGATGTGCTATAAGAAGTAGGACAAGGCTGGGGAAAGTGAAAAAAGATATTTGTACAGCACTTTACAGTTTACAAAACATTGCACATTCATGGTTCCTTCACATCCTCACAGGCACCTGTGGGATAGCCATTTTCAGACTCCTTAATATAATAGTAGGACCTGCTTATGGATGAGAGAGGCAAAGCTCTTAGAGGTTGCATGACATGCCTGGGGTCACTCAGTAAATGGCGGTGCCTGGATTATTAGGATGCAGGCCTGGTGTCTGTTTAATACACACAAAGGGACAGATGGGATAGTGGGATAAAGGACTTCTCCTCGGCAGCCACCAAGTCCCACCACCTATGCCTGCTCTCCCAGTGGACCAATACTACTCTACCCCAAGGCCTCCTGTGGGTCCTCTCATAGTATTCTCAGCCATCTGATTTTCAATAGTTCGTAGCCAAGAGTAACATGTGACCATACCTAGTGTAGACAATTCATTTTCCACAGCTTTTCCAGCACCTTCTAAAATTGCTTTTGACACACCTAAATAAGACATGTTAATAGTAAAAAACATCAGTAAAAATTCAATAAGTGGTTCTAGCCTTTGTACATTAGAATTTTGTTCAACTCACCCTTTTGTGCTTAATCTATTTGCCCCCCTGCCCCAGAAAATCATGTTTTCTGCAGCAACCTTCATTCAAGGGCTGATGAATAAACAACCTGACCCCCGCATGATGGCACTGCCCAAAGGCTGAAAGTCCAGTGTTGCAGCGTTACCTTCTCTACTTGTACAGGGATTATTTTTGCAGTTATTTGAATTGTTTTTGCATTCTGCCCTTATTGTTTTATGAAAATGAATGAAACATATAACACTAAAAGTTCTGATACTAATGAGAAGCATGGATTTCAAAACTGTACTGAAATTGAGCATTTTACTTAAGTCCTTTATTTTCCCCCCTACAATTGGATAGAGTTAGCTGGTTTCAGTCCAATGAATCTTTCAAGCAAGGCTGCAGCTTCACCACTTTGGTCAAATCTAACGACAGCTGGATTGAGTGGTTAACAATACGGACATTGCATTTTTTTTTTTTTTTTTTTTTTTTTTGAGACAGAGTCTCACTTTGTTGCCCAGGCTAGAGTGAGTGCCATGGCGTCAGCTTAGCTCACAGCAATCTCAAACTCCTGGGCTCAAGCGATCCTACTGCCTCAGCCTCCCAAGTAGCTGGGACTACAGGCATGCGCCACCATGCCTGGATAATTTTTTGTATATATATCTTAGTTAGCCAATTAATTTCTTTCTATTTATAGTAGAGACGAGGTCTTGCTCGCTCAGGCTGGTTTCAAACTCCTGACCTTGAGCAATCCTCCCGCTTCGGCCTCTCAGAGTGTTAGGATTACAGGCGTGAGCCACCGTGCCCAGCCAGGACATTGCATTTTGACAGATTGGGTTGGCGTTAGCTCCACTTAGGAGCTAATATGTGAGGACTCAGTTTCTCATCTGTTACACAGAGGCTAATATGGCACTTTCCTCACAGAGTTATCCGAACACTAAAGGGATAATGGATGAAAAATGTTTAGCACAGAACTTGGCATGCAGAAAATACATAATAAATGTTAGTTACTTTACCACTATAAAGAGATATATGTCTATATCTATATATCCTTGATTGTATATGTTATGAATCCTCTCTTTTTTTTTTCCAATTTTTTTAGAGAAAGGTTTCTCTCTGCTGCCCAGGCTGGAGTACAATGGCACGATCATAGCTCACTGCAACCTCAAACTCCTGGGCTCAAGCGATCTTCCTGCCTCAGCATCCCAAATGGCTATGACTACATAAGCACGCCACAACACCCACTATTTTTTTCTTTTTCATTTTTTTATAGAGATAAAGTTTCACTATGTTGCCCAGGTTGGTATCTCTTTTTTAAAAAACTCCTTTTTCCGGTTTGTTTGTTCTGGTCTCTGTCTTTGCTGTGGTGGAAACTTCTCTCATATGTCAAGTGATCCTGGCCTCCCAGAGTCCTAAGATTACAGGCATGAGCCACCATGCCCGGCCTTGGGTATTCTTTTATGTCTACATTTTGAATGACTGAAAAATTGAGTGACCAATAAATTAAATGACCAATTAAGTGACCAATAAATTAAATATTCTACTTTTATTTTTTTTTTATTTGAGTACAACCATTCAGATAAATTAAATATTCTATAGACTCACTTCTGCATAGTAAGTTCTATAATATTTTACAATTTAGAAAATATTTAAAATTCTATTTCTAGTTATGTTGTACCCTTTTAATTTAAGTCAGTGTTTTATAATATACAAAATATATTATATATAATATATATAATATACAATGTATGTATAATATATAATGTATATACAATATATAATGTATATATAATATACAAAAGAATACCCAAGGCGGGGCACGGTCACGGCTGTAATTACACCTGTAATATATAATGTATATATAATATACAAAATATATTAGCATAAAAGTATATGTATGTAAGTTATAAAAAATAGATATATGTGAGGAGGGCATGCTCATAAGTGTTATTGTAATGGGTGTGGTCATGCATTTCAGAGAAAACCAAGACAAAGGGTGAGAGTTTCATTTCTGAGTCAGTGTAACATATAGAGAAGTGAAGAGCTACAGGAAATGAGACTGCATAAGGGGGGAAATAAAAATAGAGGAACTTAAAGCTTATTAACTTGTAAGTGTGGAAGTCTGATAGTCCAGAGCTAAAAAGGGGATGAGAGCTGACATTGACTATGGTGCAACAGCTACACCTCATGTTTCCATCAGTCACGCCCATCTAATCCTCCTTTGGGAAATAGGAATTTGACAGGCAAAGAAACTGAGGCTGAGAGAGATCAAGTGACTTGTCCAAAGTCACACGATGGCAAGTAGATAGCTGGGATTCAACCCAGGTCTTTCTGACTCCAAGGCCAGCATATTTTCTACAACATTCTCTGCCTACTCACAGCAATATTAGCCACAATTTCCTTCCCATATATTAGTCACGATAATAGTTACAATCAAGTATATTGCTTAAATACAGTACCTGATGTCCAATTAAATGTGTTTGCTGTTGAGTTTACAATAACATCTACATTTTCTTTGGTGATATCTCCAACAGCAACCTGGAAAGTAACTGTACCAATTTTCATTTCATACCCTGGGAACCAACCATTAGGGTCAGTCCCGATGACACCTGAAAAGAAAGAAAATGGTTAACAAATGGGCTGGCTCTTGGAGGATCAGCAAATATCTCAGGGTCCTATTCTCTTCCCAGTCCTCCCACTTTTCCCTAACATAAATCCAAACATGACCATGTCTCCTGGCCTGTTCAACTGCTAGGTTTTCTTTTTAAAGGATGTTAGAAAATAATGCTTTGGGGCAATAGGCATATTTGCATTTTCTCAGTTGAACAGGATGAGACAGAAACATCTGATTGGACCAGTCTGTTTACTGGCAAAAGCTGCTTCGGCAACATGAGAAAGGAGTGAGGAAGAAGGGGAGGGTGTAAAGTGCTCTCTCATCTCCTGTGGACAACATCCCTGGGAGATCCTTTTATTACCAGTGGAGTAGCAACATAAAGGGTGCTCAAAGGAAATTACCTTTACCATGCTGGCATATTACTGTCCACTCCACACTCCGAGGCTTCACAACTTAGGTGTGCCACTTCCACTCATCCCTTAAACTCTTTACATCTCCCTTTTGATGTTTATACAGTAGCAAGGGAACCATCTACCCATGGGGCCATTGTATAGATAAATAATATATATGAAAGCAATCAGCAAAGTGTAATGTGCCATACACAACTTAGATATTTTTTACTATCATTTCTTCAAAACTCTGGTTTCATTACCAATGATTCGGTTTGTGTTAATATGTTGGCTTCTTTGTGTGCCCAGACAATGGGACATGCTCTAACACATTCTCTATCACTGATTTGTTTTTCATGTGAGCTTTGCCTCCTTCTATTGGACTCTACCATCACTGAAGAGTTACTAAGCAAAGGGAAATATTTCCTTAGCAGAACAACTTCACTGTACCTTGGGTATCTCCAGCCTTGAGTATCTTGTCCTTGTTGGGATTTCTGCTCGACCATCTAGAGAATGCATCTACAAATGCCTGGAAATAGAAACACAGTTATTGACCACAATAATGTTCCGTAGAAATATTAATCCAATTCTTTGGATCATTGATCATCAGATATCAAATAGTGACAATAGTTTGCCATAGATTTCCCCTTAACTCAGCGACTTCGTAATTAAAGGACTGTAGTTCAACCTAGGAATTTTCTCAATAAATAGCAGTGGTAGTTTATTTCATGAGTATAACTAACACTGTACTGAATAAAGGGGAGTAAGGTTTTGTAAGTGCTCCTTTATGAAGTCCTTCTAGCCAACAACTAATTTAAGGACCACAAAGAGTTGTGCAGATGAAAAGATCTGTTTTTCCATTGTAGTGTCACAAAGATCCATCTTAGTATACTGGTTCTTCAAGAAGTCGTATGCCGATATATGTCACCTTAACAATATTTGTACCCCCCTAATATGATGAAATAAAAAGAGAAGAAAAAAAGCAGTTGTATGCTTTATTTGCAACCACTGTCAGGTTTTCCCTCATCTTTTGAAACCCCATAATTCTGGCCTTCTACAACTGCCCTGCTTAGGAGAGTGTAGAATGTTTACAGGTGAGTGGGGGAGGGGAGGGCAGCAACATTCCTTAGCATAATTGGCTGTTAGGTGCGTTCTGGGGTTGACTGACAACAAATACACACAGCACATTTCATCTCTACATCTAGCCAAAGCCTCCTGAATGAACTCACTGAAATCACATTAGAAACCTTTATAAGCTTAAGGTTTTTGTTTTTTTTTAGAAATGAAAAAAGGCTTCTTGGTCATGTGAGTGATAAAACTGAGCAATGGGTGACGACAGATTGGAATTATAAAGTTTCGCTTGGATTGTCCAGTTTAGAAATTAGGAAAACTTGCTAATGATAATTTTTCCCCAGTCTATCTTTGAGCAAAAATTATATCTCTGGATATTTTATATTCACTAAGAGGGGAAAAAAAACAAGAAAAGTTTTGGGGTATATGTTATTCCTTTAACTATTATTATTCTTTCCTGCATCTATGGGCAAATAAACTTACAAGCTACATTATGTAATACTTTGAAATGTTTCTGGGGATCTCTGGGGAACATCTCTGGGAAGACTACACTTCCATCCCGAATGGCTAAAAATAAGAACTTAAAAAACAATATAATCTTTGATGTCCTTTTTTTTTATTTTGGCATATTATGGGGGTACAAATTTTAAGGTTTCAAAAAGTGCCCTTCCCCCCCTCCCCCCACAAGTCTGAGTTTCCAGCGTGACCATCTTCCTGATGGTGCACATCTCACTCATTATGTATGTATATACCCGCCCCCCTCCCCCCTGATGTCCTTTTGAAGTGCTAATATTAGTAAGTTGTAGCAATTTTCCTGATAGCCCTTAAAGTCAGATAATAATAAGGCAATAACTACCACTGCAAACAGTTTTGAGGCTTGCTATGTGCTAGATACCATGCAAAACACTTCAAATATACTCTCTCTTTCGATACTCAGATCAGCTTTGAAAGGTGTTAATACCATGTTCATCTTACCCATGATAAAACTGAGATTCACAGAGATTATGTTACCTGACTTTAAAATGGCAAAACTGAGATTCAAACCTTGGTATGCCATTCTTCTAATGCCAGTGGCAAGTACTTAGTAAATGTGGTTTTGACCTGCTTCTCTGCTACTGAATATGGTGCTGGTATTTCTAGCTGTAGACTTTCTCAGACTTGTGTAGCCTGGTATATTCTATACAAATAACTAAATTCTTTTTTTTTTTTTTTTGACACAGAGTCTCACTTTGTTGCCCAGGCTAGATTGAGTGCCGTGGCGTCAGCCTAGCTCACAGCAACCTCAATCTCCTGGGCTCAAGCAATCCTGCTGCCTCAGCCTCCCGAGTAGTTGGGACTACAGGCATGTGCCATCATGCCTGGCTAATTTTTCTATATACATTAGTTGGCCAATTAATTTATTTCTATTTATAGTAGAGACGGGGTCTCGCTCTTGTTCAGGGTGGTTTCGAACTCCTGAACTAGAGCAATCCGCCCGCCTCAGCCTCCCAGAGTGCTAGGATTACAGGCGTGAACCACCGCGCCCGGCCAATAACTAAGTTCTTGAGGCTTCTATTCTTCCACCTTTTCCCTATAGGTAAAGCCATGACTTAGCTTTCACATAGTGTTAAAATGTCTAGGCCATTTTTATGATGATGACTTCCTACTTTTTTCTAAGAATTTATTTATTATAGATTATCTCATCTCTTGATAAACTGTCTAGAGAGGATTGTATAAGTTATTAGTGTTAGCTCATAGTTAAGGCATATGACAACCTCCCATCAGTAACTAATATTTACAGGCAGGGAAGTAGAAAATACTATTATTTATGGATCTATAAAGACTACTTATTGCCCTTGGGTTCACTTGCCAGAATGACCAGACAAGACATATAACCATACCTCGTGGCCCTCATCATCATCTGGATGTACCACAAACTGAACTTCTTGTAAGGTTTTCTTCAGCCAAGCACTGCTACTAAACTTGAACACTTCCGAAAGGATTAGTTCAGCAAAAATAGCTTTGGGAAATCGCAAATTTCGTGTTCCAATCAAAGGAAATGTGATTGATGAGAAAGATTGCTGATCTATAGTTGTCAAACATTTCTGGATTATATTTGCCATGATCTGAAATGCACAAAGTACATTTACATAAGTCAGGGCTCCGACTGGTGGAAAACAGAACAAGCTGTAGTTCCAGCAACTCTCACTAAGACCTGTCTGCCATTGTTGGCTTTGTCAGGGCCTGGGAAGTCAGAAACGGAGGACAGAATAAGGGAAGAATATTTTCCAGAGAGGATCAAGCTCATTCAGGAAGGCAGAGTTTAACAGTACGGGGATGGTTACATACACAATGGAACTTCAATGCAAACTAAAATGATGTTTATGAAGAGTTTTTAACATGACGAAATTTTTTTTTTTTTTTTTTTTTTTTGAGACAGAGTCTCACTCTATTGCCTGGGCTACAGTGCCGTGGCATCAGCCCAGCTCACAGCAACCTCAAACTCCTGGGCTCAAGCAATCCTCCTCCCTCAGCCTCCCAAGTAGCTGGGACTACAGGCATTCACCACCATGCCTGGCTAATTGTTTCTATATTTTTAGTTGGCTAACTAATTTCTTTCTATTTTTAGTAGAGACAGGGTCTTGCTCTTGCTCAGTCTGGTCTCCTGAACTCCTGAGCTCAAACGATCCGCCCGCCTCAGCCTGCCAGATTGCTAGGATTACAGGCGTGAGCCACCGCACTCAGCCAGGAAATGCTTAAATAAGAAAAAAAGCAGTATTAAAAAATGTTTGAAAGAGAATCTCAACTGAGAAATAAATATGTATAAAATTGACTTGAAGGAGGTACATAAAATGTTAAATTGATCTCTTGGTGCTTTACTATGATTATTATTTTATTTTTGTACTTTTCTGTATTTTCTACCATGTAACACATATTACTTTTTATATTCTGCAAAAATAAAGTTGAGAGGTTAAACTGGAGGTGAGGATGAAGTTATCAAAAGAAGAGGAGTGACTCTCTTTTATTCTTCACCACAGCTCTTGGTGCACCTCTTTGCTATCCTGAAGGTTTAATACAGTACTTTTTAGACACCACTCCTGGAGAACCCCAGTGATTGTTACAGCTTGCAAGGGTCAGTTATTCTGAAATAACTGGTAGTTGTGATGGAGTCTCCATGGAATGTAACAAAGATTTCAATAATTAGACAAGGTTTAATCAATGCTAGGATTTCTCAACCTGGGCCCGATAATTCTTTGTTGATGGGGGCTGGTGTGTGCATTATTGCTAAACATCAGTGGATGTTTAGCAGCAACCCTGTCCTCTACCTTCTAGATACCAACAGCAGCTGTACCAAGCCTGTGGGACAAAATTGCCTTAGTTAAGAACCAGAAATCTACACCATGCCAGAAGATCCCCAAAGCTACCAAAAGAGGTGGAAAACTGAGGGCTTTCTCTACCTGCAAAGAAATCCCTGCTCCATTATCCCACATTGGAGCCACGACATGGAGCACAGCCTTGAAGTCCAGATTGTAGCCACTTGTCATGAATATGCTACCCACTTTCTCCTCAGTTCCCTCCCTGGTGGCATTTAACTCTTCCTGGAGCCTTGGACCAGCTTTCTCCAAAAGAGCCTGAGATAGCGATCCTCTTCCGAGCTGAAGATCCACAGGGACAGAGTTGACAATGACATCGGCCTTAAGGAAAATAGCAAATTTGTTAGAAATTGAATTAATACATAATGAATGAGTACCTGTTACTTTGCTAGGCACGGTGGAGTAATGCACAAGATATATTTCGCCTTTCGCACTGACATGCCAGCCCTACCCTCAAGGAGCTTACAATCTGTTATTAGCACTTACTCCCAAAACTTAGAAATTAAGGAAATTAAAAAAAAAAAAGAAATTAAGGAAATTAAAAAAAAAAAAGAAATTAAGGAAATATACTACCCACTACTGTCAAACAACCATCTAGTGAGTCAAAGTAGAGCTAGGAAGATGAGTGAAACAGAGACCAGAGACAGAGACAAAGATTGGTAGAGATGAAGAAAGGGAACGTGAGAGTTAAAGGCAGAGACAGAAAGAGACAGATGGGGAGAGACAGACAGATTGAAAAAGAAACACAGAAAGATTCAGAGAGACAGAGGAAGTGAGAGTCGCTTTTAGGCTGGCGGGAACTGAAAGTTATTGTTTTGAATTGAATAACATACCTAAAGAAAGAGTGGATAAACCTGAGGCGGGGTCTGGTCAGCCCTGAAGGCCTGGACAAAGGAAAGTCACGGAGGTGAAGGCAGGCAGTGTCCATGCTAGCCTGTCCAGTGGCATCGAGCTCTCCAGTGTCTCTGCTGAGGCTGTCCCTTTGGTGAGACAGGGGTCATAGCCTGAGGCCATTAGCTGTTCTACGTTCAATTCCTCTAACTCTGCTTACTTAGATTTTGTGCTCACTGACAGCCTTCTGATTTCCTGGTGATTTAACAGGGGGTGAGGAAGTGAGCACTCTGATCATGTGGACAAGGTCCTGAACCCATTTGGCAAAGGAGTCTAAGGCCCTTATTCTAAAGAACATGAAGAAAGCAGCTGGCTCCCTCCTCTCTGCCATCTCATTAGCAGTAGCAAAAGCAAAGAGTATTTCCAGTGGCTCATAATCCAGAAGAATCTTTAAGTTTCTCAGTAGAGTTCTCTTTCCATTAGCCTTAAATGTGTGCCATCTGAAGGTAAACAATGTCCAAATGGTGGGGCTATAGAGTTCTGAAGAAGCACCCCAACCAGTGATTCTTAGCCCTAGCTGCATAATATAATCACCTGGAATGCTTTCAAAAATTACTGTGCAAAAAAAAATTAAAAAAAAAAAATGACTGTGGCCTACGCCATGTACCTGACCAACGAAAGTCAGGATCTCTAGGTGTGGGGCCTGGGCATCTGTATTTTTAAAAGCTCCCCAAATAATTCTGATCTGAACATTATGGATGTCAATTATAGGTGGAATTTAGGGCCTGTATCTCCTGCTAATAGGCGATTCCAAGGAAAAGGAAGTGATAGAGAGAAGTGGTAGGCAGGAGCCAAGTTGAAGATTTAGTTAGTGCCTGAACCAGTAACCTTTATCCTCTCCTCATACTTTTTTTTTTTTTTTTTTAGACAGAGTCTCACTTTGTTGTCCAGGCTAGAGTGAGTGCCGTGGCGTCAGCCTAGCTCACAGCAACCTCAAACTCCTGGGCTCAAGCAATCCTTCTGCCTCAGCCTCAGTCCTGAGTAGCTGGGATTACAGGCATGCGCCACCATGCCCAACTAATTTTTTCTATATATATTAGTTGGCCAATTAATTCCTTTCTATTTATAGTTGAGATGGGGTCTCAATCTTGCTCAGGTTGGTTTCGAACTCCTGAGCTCAAACTATCTGCCCACCTCGGCCTCCCAGAAAGCTAGGATTACAGGCGTGAGCCACCACACCAGGCCTATCCCTCCTCATTCTTCCTGTGTCCTCTGGAAAGTGCTCAGGCAGGAGCAAGGGGGTGTATTTGTGAAGGGTGATTTTATAATGTGGTGTACACATGTCTTCCCCATTAATGATAATTGGAGCAGGAGAGAAAAACAGACCTGTAGGTGAAGATCAGTTACAGAGAAAAGAAGTGGATTTGTATATTCTGGTTTGTGGTTAAACTCAGACCCTTCCACGTGAGCACATATGAACAAATATAGGGGATAGTAAATATATTTCTGCATGAACTTTAGGTGGGTTTAACTTCTCAAATTTACATTATCTGAATCTTTGACCCTAAATCACAGAACCGGTTGATTAAATCCCGTTGTTCCTTGGTGGATGTACTAAACAGCACCGCTTACCTGTATACACAGAACATCTCCACATATCAACTCAAGACTCAGACCTTCTTTGGTTTGGATGGAGTCTACATTTCTGTTTGCAAGATAATCTTCCTTGCTGAACTGGCCTCTTGACTGTGGAGAAAATGGGAAAGTATTACTAGGCAGTGCCTATATGAAGATTTTCCTTGTAGGTGTCCAAACAGAAAATAACTGTTAGATTTCACAATTTCTCTTATTCAACTCATAACTCAGCTCTGAGATCCAAAAGCAGATAATTTATTATCATAATATTTTGAGTATCAATTGTATTTAATACTGCAAATGCCAATGAGCTTTTTTTCTTATTCCTCCAAGAATCCTGGCATAGCAAACACTGTTCTTATCCCATGGTCCTTACTATTTAAGTGCACCCTGGACATATTTCCAACTGTATTTCTTGCCAAGGGACTTTCTTTAGTGCTTCCTGGCATAGCAGAGAGGAAGTACAGGTAAATTAAGCCACCCTCCCCACCACCAGCCCTCATCCAATGATTGGCAGAAATTGGTGTAAGAATACCCCAGCAACCTTGCCTCCCAGATAGATTCACTATGAATTTCCTCAGTGGGATTGAGTATATTTGATGATATACTCTAAAGTTTCCTTTACTTTCCTGTCTAAATCACTTGCTCTTGAATCCTGTCTCAAGGTCCTCTCCTGGGGAAACCCAAACTAAGACACATCCCTGAGCACTCCACAATAATGCATTTGTAGTTTGACTATTAATCAATCACAGAATTTTAGAATTTAAAGGGGGTCATCACAGATCATCCAGTATAGAAACTTCATTGTCCTGAAAAGGAAACCAGTGTGCAAAGGGATGAAGTCACTTGATCAAAGTCAAACTACCAACTAATGGAACACACAATACTTGAATCTGGTTTCCTCACACTCAATTCAGCTCTGCTTTTCACAGAATCTCCGCTGATCTACCTTATGATATTTACCATGCTATAGAAGGGTGAAAACATTGCGTATATTTTTTACTACTTGGCACTACTGTCAAGAGCTCAATGAAAGATGTGACATTCATAAATGCAATAGAGGTAATCCTCACCTAACAGAATAGATCTATTCCATTCACGTTTGCTTTGCAATAAAGTTTAGTCACATTAAAGTGCTTTTCCCATTGACATTCATTGGAATATTGGAGAGGTCATTTTTATCCCATAAAAGTCTTGCCCTTAGAGATTCAATAAATACAAACAATAAAACACAAGCAACTAAAAATACCTATTAGAAGTAAAGATACTACCATTGTTAAAGGCAGTGGCTCCCATCTGTTATCCTAGCATTCTGGGAAACCAAGGCAAGAGGATCACTTGAGCTCAGGAATTCGAGACCAGACTAAGCAAGAGACCCCGTCTCTACTAAAAATAGAAAAAATTGGCTGGGTGCAGTGGCTCACGCCTGTAATCCTAGCACTCTGGGAGGCCGAGGTGGGCGGATCGCTCAAGGTCGGGTGTTTGAAACCAACCTGAGCAAGCTTGAGACTCTGTCCCTGCTAAAAAAATAATAGAAAGAAATTAATTGGCCAACTAAAAAATATATAGAAAAAATTAGCTGGGCATGGTGGTGCATGCCTGTAGTCCCAGCTACTCAAGAGGCTGAGGCAGGAGGATCGCTTGAGCACAGGAGTTTGAGGTTGCCATGAGCTAGGCTGATGCCACGGAACTCTAGCCCGGGCAACAGAGTGAAACTCTGTCTCAAAAAAAAAAAAAAAAAAATTAGCTAGGCATTGTGGTACATGTCTGTAGTCCCAGCTGCTTGGAAGATGGAGGCAAGAGGATCACCTGGGCCCAGGAGTTTGAGGTTGCAGTGAGCTACCATAACACCACTGCATTCTAGCCAGGGCATCAGAGTGTCTGTTACCTGCCCTCTCCAAAAGAAATAATTATAATAATCAAAAATATTTAAAACAATTGTGTTCTGTAATCAAAAGAAATCATAAAATTAGGTCAGATTTCCTGGCAGCAGAGCCTGAGATGGGGATTTGTATGCAAGTGATTTATTAAGGTTGTGCCCTCAGGAGAAACCCTTAGGAAGTGAGAGTTGTAGGTAGAGAAGGAGAAGAAGCTAAACTAGAATGTGGTTTTAGGCTAAGCCTGGCTTGTGCCTGCTCCCCCAGGAAGCCATGTAGCATATAAGTTGTATCATAGTGTTTGTCTCACCTGGGGGCAAGGGAGCTGAGTTATTGTACCTTTATTGTACCTTCATACCATCTGGTGGGGAGATGAATGTAAACTTCCAGGCACTTCCAGGAAAGGCACCCTCAGTCCTCCCAAAGGCAATACTTTGCAGAAGGTTGCAAGTTTGAATCCTTACCAGCAATACACAGAGCAGCTGGATTGTGAGTGCATTCAATAAATAAAAGAGACCCTAACCCCAGGATATCTGGGAAAGACACCAGAGAAAGAGCATTAAGAGAAGTGCAAAGGGCCGGGTGCCTTGGCTCACGCCTGTCATCCTAACATTGTGGGAGGCCGAGGAGGGTGGATTGCTCAAGGTCAGGAGTTTGAAATCAGCCTGAGCAAGAGCGAGACACCATCTCTACTAAAAATAGAAAGAAATTAATTGGCCAACTAAAAATATATAGAAAAAATTAGCAGGGCATGGTGGCACATGCTTGTAGTCCCAGCTACTTGGGAGGCTAAGGCAGGAGAATCCCTTGAGCCCAGGGCTTTGAGGTTGCTACGAGCTAGGCTGATGCCACAGCACTCTAGCCAGGGTAACAAAGTGAGACTCTGTCTCAAAAAAAAAAAAAAAAAAAAAAAAGAGAGAGAATGCAAACAATAACTGCATAAATGTGGAAGAAAGAGAATGTTGTTTAGCAACTAAGTCATGTTAAACATCTGAGGGATTTTGTTTGACAGTATATTTAGTACAAATCAACAGCGATATAGCTGTGTTTGAGAAAGAAATAACAGGTCACCAAATACTGGCAAGGATGTGGAACAACAGGAACTCTCATTGCTGGTGGGAATGGGAAATGGTTCAGCCACTTTGGAAGATAGTGTGGTAGTTTCTTACAAAATTAAACATACTCTTTCAATATAATCCAGCAATCTTGTTCCTTGGTATTTATTCAAATGAATTGAAAATGTCTATCCACATAAAACTTACACATACATGCTTGTAGCAGCAATATAGCTTTATTCATAATTGTCAAAACTTGGAAGCAACCAAGATGTCCTTCAGTAGGAGAATGGATAAAGTGTGGTGCTTCCATACAACAGAATGCTATCCAGTGTTAAAAAGAAATGAGCTATTAAGTCACAGAAAGACATGGAGGAAACTTAAATGCATATTGCTAAGCAAAAGCAGTCTGAAAAGACTATATATTATATGATTTCAACTATATGACATTCTGGAAAAGGCAAAATTATAGAGACAGTAAAAAGATCAGTGGTTGCCAGAGATTTGGAGGAGGAAAGGAGCGATGAATAGGCCGAGCACGGGGGATTTTTAGTACAATGGAACTATTCTGTATATTATAATGGTGGACGTATGACATTATGCATTTGTCAAAACCCATAGAACTACACAGCACAAAAGGTGAACTTTAATGTAAGCTCTGGACTTTTATTAATAATAACGTGCCAATATTGGTTCATCAGTTGTAACAAACATACTGCACTCATGCAAGATGTTAATAATAGGGAAAATTGGGGGGTAAGGGGTATTTGGGAATTTTATACTTTCTGCTCAATTTTTCTGTAAACCTAAAACTGCTCTAAACAAAGTCCATTCATTTAAAAAAGAAAAAAAATGATTTGGGGGGCAATAATAATAGAAACACAATAATGAGAATGTGTGGTGAATTATAACCCTATTCTATTTTTCACTGGCAAAAACAGCACCTGAGGATGTGCTTACTTCAAGGTACCAAACTTACCAAAGGGATTATGAAAACTAGATATGTTCTAGTTTCTAGGAAACTGATGCTGTGAAGGGACTCAAAACCATGTCATATGAGGATATATAACAGTAATTGAGTATACGTATTTAACTTGCAGAAGTAGAGAAATAGACACAATGAAGAAAAGTGTAACCGAACAAAATTGACACGCCACTGGCTAAGCTAACAAAAAGCAGAAAAGAGAAATCTCTAATAAGCTCTCGGCGTGTGAAACATCTGGACCGGGACTTTTCTTTTAGGCGAGATTTTAATGCTGTTTCTACTTCAGCTCTTGAGATTATCTGTTTAGCGGAATCATTTCTTCCTGGTTGAGCCTAGGGAGGCTGTGTGTTTCTAGAAATTGGTCCATTTCCTCCACATTTTCCAGTTTGTGTGCATAAAGATTTTTGTAGTACTCATAAATTATATCTTGTATCTCTTTGGGATCAGTTGTGATATCTCCTTTTTAGTTTCTGATCGAGCTTATTAGAGATTTCTCTTTTCTGCTTTTTGTTAGCTTAGCCAGTGGCGTGTCAATTTTGTTCGGTTACACTTTTCTTCATTGTGTCTATTTCTCTACTTCTGCAAGTTAAATACGTATACTCAATTACTGTTATATATCCTCATATGACATGGTTTTGAGTCCCTTCACAGCATCAGTTTCCTAGAAACTAGAACATATCTAGTTTTCATAATCCCTTTGGTAAGTTTGGTACCTTGAAGTAAGCACATCCTCAGGTGCTGTTTTTGCCAGTGAAAAATAGAATAGGGTTATAATTCACCACACATTCTCATTATTGTGTTTCTATTATTATTGCCCCCCAAATCATTTTTTTTCTTTTTTAAATGAATGGACTTTGTTTAGAGCAGTTTTAGGTTTACAGAAAAATTGAGCAGAAAGTATAAAATTCCCAAATACCCCTTACCCCCCAATTTTCCCTATTATTAACATCTTGCATGAGTGCAGTATGTTTGTTACAACTGATGAACCAATATTGGCACGTTATTATTAATAAAAGTCCAGAGCTTACATTAAAGTTCACCTTTTGTGCTGTGTAGTTCTATGGGTTTTGACAAATGCATAATGTCATACGTCCAC